CTTTGCATAATTTTTCATGCGCATCAATTTCGGCCTTTTGAGAAAATCCACTGAAACAGCCACGGCAATGGAACGAAAATTCCTTTGTGTGAGTCACTTTGTGCTGTTTCAAGTTATTTGGCTGCGTGAATTCTTTTTGGCATATATTGCATCGATATGGTTTCTCGCCGGTATGAGTACGCGAGTGCACATTGAGACACCACTTGCGATTGCTAGAATATTCACAAACTTCGCATTGGAATCGCTTCGTCTCCATTGGGTTTGATGGAGTTGACTTTTTATTTTGCAATGATTTTGAAGTCGAGCTTGATTCGGCATGTTTTCTTTGATGTCCAAAAGATTTTCCTGCCATGTTGTTTCTTTTGGCACCACCACCGTTGCTCGATGCATTGCTCAAAATTTCAGTTGATGTGTTTTGGCTCGTTATGTTCATAGCACGGTGTACATCGATTGCGACTATCGGAATGCCATCGTTCAGTTCCATTTCTTTCGCTTTTATTGCGTTGTTCATTTCAATCCAACCCCAATCTCTGTTTTGTGAAACATCCCCTTGATAATCAAAAACGTTTGATTTCATATCAGACATTTCGGTGTAGCTTCTATTGTCGTCAAATTGAACATAATCTTTTAATTCATGTGATATGCCATGGCCATTATACCGAATGGCACGTTCCATTTTTGATGGTTGATCCTCTTCGTCGCTCGAGTCAATGATTTCAAATGGGTCATTGGTTGTTTGTTGGGAATTGTTCATGGCATACCTTGGAGTGTGAAACAAATTCGGATATTCATCGGTTGCTGAAGTGTTCGCATCCTCGAACATTAAACTGATTTCGAATTCATCGTACACATTCTTGATTCTGCAAACGATTATCAATAAGGAATTATTATTGCAAAATTATGGAAATTATTGTTTTTCACTCACCGATCATACGAAACACGCAAAAAATATTGCTTGAAATCAGCATTGGGTGCGAGACCATTTCGTTTGAGGTCCTGTTTAATGTTACCCAGAGAAGATTTAGCTTGGTATTCGAATGCAGTAAGCATTTGGCTCATCTCGTCTCTCCAGCTCATCATTTTCGGAATTGTAACTAAACTAGAATAGAATACAGCCAAAACCAAATTTGTTGATTAGCAATAGTGAAGGCAATCATGCACTCTCAGGCCACTTCATGAACCAACTAGTCTATATCTTCCATTGAAAGGTGCTTAATGCGTATAAAATACAGTAATTCAGACTGTCAGAATCAGATCTTGTTGCAAATATATGCAAATGTTAGTTATAGACGCAATTGACGCCATTTTACATTATTTTAGATAGCCGCACGTATTCTTACCTTACTTACGATTTGATAAATAGATTCCAATAATATGAAATGCTCTTATGCGAATAACGAGAAGTTTGCAGTAAATTTAAGGATACTTTCGATGAAAATTGAGGTTATTTCTTTAGTTTTGATGCTACCAGATTGAAACGTGTCAAAGAATTGTGACGTGAAATAGAAAGAATGACGTAATTTATTACAACTGTGCAATAGCAACAAGCTGTCAAAACGAATTCGCTGCCTTCTAATGCTAGACACTGCATTGCAAAAAGAATTTGGCGTTGAGCGAATTGATTGGATTTGAAAATATCAATAGTGAAAATATACAAATAATGAATAAATTCCTTTTCAAATTTACTTACTCCATATTTATTGTAATTTATTATTCAACTCGTCTGTGTTGAATTGAATTTTTTTGCTTAAATTATGTTTGAAAAAATAGAAATGGAAATGGGTTAAATAAATGTCAATAAAATCATAATTTTAATGTTCATAAAAACTTGTTTATGGTGCTTGTGTTCTATAGACGCTCGTTTATTACATAGAGAGTTTTCTTGATATTTTTAGGCAATAATTTCATTGGAATTTGAGTTATATTTTTATGATAGTTTGCATTCGGCCTTTTGAAAAGACCACCATCTGATGTTAATATTGATGATGATGTTTTAAAGAGAAGATATAACATCCAAAAATAGAATGGAATCTTTAATGGTTGATTCTGGTGTGTATGGTGTCCAAATGTCTTTTCAAATTTGCTTTCGATGCAAAATGTTTCATACAAATCTCGCACCGGAACGGGTTTTCACCGTTGTGCGTTCGCATATGATCTTTCAACTTAGTTTTATATACAGTGACGAACTTCTGGCAGATATGGCATTCATAACATCGCATCTTGCATAATTTTTCATGCGCATCAATTTCGGCCTTTTGAGAAAATCCACTGAAACATCCACGGCAATGGAACAAAAATTCCTTTGTGTGAGTCACTTTGTGCTGTTTCAAGTGATTTAGCTGCGTGAATCCTTTATGGCATGTATCACATCGATATGGTTTCTCGCCGGTATGAATACGCATGTGTGGTTTTAGAGCTGATTTGTAATTGCTGGAATATTCACAAACTTCGCATTGGAATCGCTTCTTCGTCCTCATTGTGTTTGGTGAAGTTGATTTTTTACTTT